TTATAAACATCCCCCCCCTCAAAAATAAGAAGCCATCGGGGCCGTGTCCCCCTGAATTCAGGGGGGGAACGCCCCCCATTTCCTTATTTCCTCCAAAAAAAGGCTCCTTTCTTCCCTCCTGCCTGTGTTTCGTTGTTCCATTCCCCTTCGGCCCTTTCCCTTTGAGATTCCCTCCCCCCCCATTTTCTGAGGGGCACCAGAGCAGGGTCATTCCCCCCACTTGACAGTTTTTGGGGTGACGATGTGATGTTAAACCCCCCCCCTTTTTCACCCCCTTTGTGAAGGGCAGGTGATGAGAATTGTCTTGGGGGGTGAATTTTTTACTGAGGGAGGGGAAGACAAGGTGGGTTTTTCCTCTCTATTTCTGCAGTCAGCTTTTAAATAAATTTAATATAAATTTATCAATTAAAATAGTAGTGTTTTGGGGGACAGTGCCCCCCCCCTCTGTGGTTTTCAGGCAGGATAGAATCCTGCAACCCTTTTTTTTTTTTCCAGGGATGGGGAATTCCTTTTCTCTCCTAATGTTCTGTTGGCTTTTTATTTTTTTTCCCCCTGGGAGTGGGGAGGGATATTCCACCCCTCCCAGCGTGGTTTTGGGGCTGATTCCCTGCTTTTGGGGAATCAGGAGGTGTACCAGTAGATGGTTTGAAAAAGGAGGGGTGGCATTTATCCCTGGAATTCTTCCCAGAGGGCAGTCCCTGTTCTCCATCACCGGATTAACGGGACCACTGGTGTCAGGGGGTTTGGATCCACTTCCATGCTCCCCCCACCCCACCCTTTGCTGAAATCCCACATTTTTCCCCCTGCTCCCAATTTTCCCAGGAGGTTTGTGCCTGCTTGGTGCCTATGCAGACAGTGATGAGGAGGAGGGGGAGACCCTGGAGAAACCCTCCCGTCCCTCCGACGCCAACGGGAACAGCTCTGCCGACATCGACAGCACCCTGGCCAACTTCCTGGCGGTCAGTGGGGAGGGGGAGTGTGGAAATTCCTCCTCGGGAAGCGAGGGGAGGGGTCACAAAGAGGGGTACTGTGATGATCCCAGATGCTTTTGGCTCCACTTTTCCCCCTGCTGGGCTTTGAAGTCGGTTTTTGGGATGTTGTTTTGCAGGAGATCGACGCCATCACGGCTCCTCCGCAGCCTGCTGAGCCTTCCTCCACTGCTGCCTCCTCTTCCTCTGCCTTGCCCCCCACCCCTCCCCGCCCAGAGCCGAAGGAGTCAGGATCTGGGTCAGGATCAGGCCAATCCTCTGGCACTGCCAATGGGGCCAGTTCCACGCCAGCTCCAGAATGGCAGTATGACACCCAGTGCTCACTGGCAGGAGGTGAGCACCCGTCTGGGGGGGCTTCACCTATCTCAGGGTGGAGGCTGTAGCCATCGGGGGGGGGCCCCGGTGGGGGGGGGCTTCACCTATCTCAGGGTGGAGGCTGCATCCATCTCGGGGGGCACCCATCTCTGAGGGAGGCTTCACCTATCTCAGGATGGAGGCTGTAGACATCTCAGGGGGGCCCCCATCTCGGGGGGCTTCACCCACCTCAGTGTGGAGGCTGCATCCATCTGTGGGCTGCTGCTGTCCCCCACTTTGTTCCCCAAGGGGATCTGAGGGTGGTGACAAGTGGTTGACACCAAGGAAAGGGGAGGTGACACCTGCCCGAGGAGCTTACCTGGTTGGCAGTGGGATGCAGGCTCTGTGTCCCGTGGGTGACACCCTGTCCATGTCCCCTCCCTGGCAGTGGGGGAGCTGGAGATGGGCGACTGGCAGGAGGTGTGGGACGAGAACACCGGCTGCTACTACTACTGGAACACCCAGAGCAAAGATGTGACCTGGGAGCTGCCACAGTACCTGGCCACGCAGGTCCAGGGCCTGCAGCATTACCAGCACAGGTAGGAGAGACCTCTCCTGGTTTCCCCCACCCCGCACTGGGCCCTTCCTCCCCCAGCCCACCCTTCACCCCCTCTCCTCTTCATCAGCAGCACCGTGACTGGTGCCAACGGCAGCTACATTGCGCGAGCCGTATTCCCAGGACAAGGGGCCCGGCCGTGGAGCCAAGAGAGAGGTGAAGAAGGTCAGTCAGATGGGCTGGTTGCCACGGGGTGGCTTGTAGGGGCCCCTTTGGGCTTCCTTGCCAGCGGGGGAGTCTTTGGGGAGCCCAAAGGGAGTGGGGTGAGGGGACCGGGTGCTGCGGTGGGCACCAGGAAACTCCTGTGGCAGCTGCTGGAAAACTGACAGGGATCTGATCCTGCAGGAGGTGAACGAAGGCGTGCAAGCCCTCTCCAACAACGAGGAGGAGAAGAAAGGGGTGGCTGCAGCTCTGCTGGCCCCGCTCCTGCCCGACGTGGTGAAGGAGGAGGAGGAGCGCTGGAGGAGGAAGGTGATTTGCAAGGAGGAGGTGGAGCAGCCCCCGGAGGAGGAGGGGAAAGCAGAAGAGGCGCCGGCGGCACCAGCTGCTCCCGAAGAGCCAGAGCCCAGTGGGGATCCCCTGGAAGAGTCAGAGCTGTGCAGTGTGGTGCAGTCTGGGGAGAGTGCTGAGGAAGAGGAGGAGCAGGACACGCTCGAGCTGGAGATGGTGCTGGAGAGGAAGAAGGTGAGGGGAAGGGTTTTGTGAGGAATGAAGGGGTTGTTTTTGTCAGGAAAAGGTGTTTAGCTGCTCCCGAAGAGCCAGAGCCCAGTGGGGATCCCCTGGAAGAGTCAGAGCTGTGCAGTGTGGTGCAGTCTGGGGAGAGTGCTGAGGAAGAGGAGGAGCAGGACACGCTCGAGCTGGAGATGGTGCTGGAGAGGAAGAAGGTGAGGGGAAGGGTTTTGTGAGGAATGAAGGGGTTGTTTTTGTCAGGAAAAGGGGTTTTGTCGGGAGAAGGGGTTGCTTTTTTTAAGATAAGGGGTTTTGTGGGGAAGGGTTTTTGTCAGGGAAAGGATTTTGTTAGGGGAAAAAAAGGCTGCAGATGCAGAATAGCTGGAGATAAACCAGGAGTAGCAGAACTTTGTGTCTCTGTCCCTGTGGACACAGCGCCCCTGCATTCCTTGTGCTCCTCCCATGTGGGCTGGGACTCCGTATGGACCATCCCCAGCTTCACACGGACTCTCCCAAGTCCACGGCTGTCGGGACACTCCATCTCCATGCCTGGGGCTGCTCCCGGCGGGAGGAGGCTCAGCTCTCTGAGGTGCCGCGTTCCCTTTGCAGGCGGAGCTGCGCGCCCTGGAGGAAGGGGACGGCAGCGTCTCTGGCTCCAGCCCCCTCTCTGACGGCAGCCAATCGGGGCCGCAGGACGCAGCCCGCAGGCTAGCCTCCAAACGGGGGAAATGGAAACTCTTTGTGGGAGCTGCCAGCCCCGAATCCGGCAGTCGAGGTTCCAGCAAAACGGGACGGGAGAGTCCG